GCGTTAAGGTCGACATAGTATATTTTTTCGTTTGAGTCGAACTTGTCGCATCCAATTGGTCCAGTTTGTGGAAATTCAAGTGAGTCTCTTATCTTCTGAGAAACCTCGCCTGTTATCTCATAAACATCGTCAAAGCAACCTGTTTCATATAAAACCTTCTGACCTAACTCAGATGCTCTCCAATACAATTTGACGTCGATTGGATGTCTCAATGGAAGTTTGTTTATAGCATCTTGAAGTTCTTGCAACCTCATTGGAAGTTCTTCTGGTTCAGGTTGGTATCCGAACAATCCAACTCCTCGTGGAACTGTGTACTTCTTTTGTGCTATAACCTTGTCCGGAACAACTTTTGGTCTTGCTAACAATGAAAAGTTTGTTTCGTCTTTTGGTACAAAAGTTTCTGTCAGCTTGTCATCTGGAATTGGTTCCAACAAACCTTTCTCGAAAAGAATGTTAACAGCTCTGACAATGTTGCACTTGCCTTTTCCGAACAATGGGTTTGTAAGACTTTCGTTCAACATGAAGTGGTTGTGGACAATTACAATCTTCAACCATGGCAATTTGAAGTCAACAACATAGTCGTCATGTGAAGAACCTTTCTCAGTCGGTATGTTGACTCGGATATTCACATTTGCCAACGGTGCAATCTTTGTCAATTGACTTCTAAGAATGTACCTTGTTTTCACACATGACTCAAGATACTTCATCTTCTCATCTGTAACAAGACCAGAGTTCCTGAGACATGTAAGAATACAAGGTTCATTGACAATTGTTTCAATTGAATTGTAAATTCCATACCTTGTCAAGTCAATGTCAGACTTATTTCTGAACGGGAAATACCCAGCATGTTGTCTGACTGCTTGAGGGTTGGGTTGGTACCATTCAAACTTCACGCTTGCAATTCCTTCAATCGCATTCAAAATATCTGAGTCGGAGTCAACCATTTGTTCTCTCTTTGTAGTCTTGAAAGCGTCAAGAAGTTGTGCGGCTGTTGTGACATTGCCATGTGCATAGTAAATATGACCATCTAAATCTGTTACGGTTAGTCTGAGATTGTATCCTTTCTTATTTCCGTCTTGAATTGCAGCAAGTACACCCATGAAGCCTTCTTTGTTCTTTCCATCGTCAAAGTTTACTGTAAAGGTTCGACCAGATGTAATTTTACTTCTAACTTCACGATACTTTTCATATGCATATCTTGTTCTTTCCATGGGAGCATGTGCGTCTTCACCCTTCCCTTTTTTCCTTCTCAAGGGATGCAATTGTTCGTCATGTTTCCAGTAGAATCTGGCAAAGCCGTCGTGTCCTTCAACTTGAGGTTCATTAACATCGAAAGGCATGTCCATAAGACGTTCTTCTTCTAACCTCTCTAGTCTGTTTGGATAATTTGCACGTGCTGTTTCTAAGTCCATTTCGTAGCGAAGACCAGACAATTTGTCATAGACTTTTATGGGTCTTCCCTTCCTATATTTAAACTTCTTTGAAACTCTCCAACCATATCTTTCTAACTCTGCTTTTATTCTAGCAGACCTTCTATCCATTCTATACGGGGGCATTTTTATAAAAATAAAAAAATGTTTTTTCTTTACTTTACGTAACCACCCGCTGCCAAAAGTCTTTGACGCCAACCCATACCAGCTAATGAAGGTTGGCTTGGTTTAGTTTGGAAACTAACCTTTGGTTTTGGTTTTTCTTCAGTTTTTGGTTTCTCTTCTTCTATTGGTTTTTCGTCACTTTTCGGTTCATCTGACTTTACCTCACTTGCTTGAACAGTTGTGTCGTCAACATCTTCATAAATGTCATATGCCATTTGTTTCTGTTTTCCTTTCAACTTTTTGTGTTTGTTGTAAAGTTTAGAATATTTCGACTCTAAGTCAATGAGATGTTCTATAATGAACTGTTGGTCAGTGAAGTAAACTTTTCCATCTGTTGTCTCGAAAGCTCCTTCAGACTTCAATATTTTATTTGTGAGAGTCTGTTTCTTTTTTGAGATACTAGCCGTTCCATTTTTATGAAAAGTGACTTTGTAGTTAGAGTTTGTATTTCCAGACCTGGCACTTTCTATTATTGAATTTTTCTCTTCATCTGTAAGTTCTTTGACAGGTTTTGACAATGGTTCTGAACTTTTTGTTTGTGGTGTCAAATCTACCGTTTCAACTTCTTCGGTCATTTCATCTCAGTAAAAAATTTTAGTTTGGTTTGTTTTCAACTGGTTGTTGAGGTTTTTTAAGTCGGTCTAAAACTTCCTGAGGTATAGGAAGAACTTGACAAACACGTGGTTGTGTAACTGCTGGAAGCCGACAAAGCCATCTTGAGCCCATTTGTCTCAATGCTGTATTGTTCATTTCATCTCAGTAAAAAATTTTACATTCCCCACGTTTGAGGCGGTTGAGGTTGGTTGTTGTTTACCCACTGTTGTGCATGGTTATATCCTCTGTTAAAGAATCTTTCACCTTGGTCCATGTAGTGTCCTGCTTGGTTATAGTAGTCATTTGCTTTGTTATAGTAGTTTCCTGCTTGTCTTCCTACATTGTCCATCCATCCTTGAACTTTTCCTCTTGTTTCAGGATTTGGAATAAGATTTGCTGCATCTCGTGCTACCTCCCAACCTTTCTGTACAGTTTGTATAATAGGTTGTGCTTTCTCTTTCAGTATACCTAATGTACTCAAAATCTTCCTTCCAATTCCAAATGCACCTCTGGCTAGTGTTCCCACTGCGGGTAAAAATCTAGATGCAACTCCTGCTAATGCGCCAAATAAACCCATTTCTTATGGGTTAAAAATGACGAATTCAAACAAGGACCCCTATGTTTCTAAGGCAACAAAGAAAGCACTCATGGTAAAAATCTTTAGTTCAACACCAAATGCTTGGTTTATGGATATCTTGGAAAACATTCCGAGATATAGAGAAGATGGACCACCATACTGGCTAATATTTGTCGGTCAAAACACAAGATACTGTGAAGCCATACCATTATGGTCCAAAAATATTTTAGATGTGAAAACTGCTTTGACAATATTCGTTGACAAATACCATCCAACAAAACTGACATCTGACTGTGAAAGTTCTTTCAAATCAGACGATATTAAAAACTATCTGCGTTCAAAAAATGTAAACCAATATTTCATTGTCGACCAAAACCATTCTGCTCTTGGTGTCATTGACAGTTGTATAAAAATCTTAAGAGACTTAAATCAACCACAAGGTGGTGAGGTAGATGAAATGTCATATGACGACAAGTACAGACACTTCTCCATGGCAAAGATGAGACAAGTTTTAAATATTTACAATAACCGTAAACAAAAAGGTTTGGGAAACCACTCCCCCGAAGAAATGAAAAACAACCCCGACTTAGAGAAAGACTATATATTTAATAGTTTAGTCAAAAGAGACAAACAAGAAAGAATGCCAGGCTTCAAACTTAAGAAAGGTGACAAAGTAAAAATAGAAATACCTAAACGCGACCCATATGAAAATACTATTGACTATGACAACAATGGGAACTCGACAGGTACTCACATTCGTGTTCGTAAAAATAGAAGAAAGTATACAAGAGAATATTATGAAGTTTTAGGCAAACATGGCAAAATGTACAGACTGCAAGCAGAAGATAAAACTACTATTGTCAGACCTCGTTTCAAACTTGTCAAAGTTCAAGGTGGTATACTTTCAAAGACAGTTCCTAACAAATATAAGACAACTCCTGACGAATATGCTAAAGAAGTTGAAAATGACGACTAAGCATTTCTATACCATGCGTAAACTGTCATGTAAGGTGGCATGTAGTCTTTACTTTGTCCCGTTGTTTACGTATACCCTGAAACGCGATGTGTATGGTTTCCTTCTCCCTGTGTGCTACCCCAGAAACAATTTATAGCAAACTGAACGTCGTCTTTAACATCATATCCTTTACCTTTTTTCATTGCTGACCAATCCCAAAATCTATGCTTATGCCAACCTGCTTGAGATGTACTTAAATCTATGTAGTGACTGTGTGCAGGTAAGTTTTCACCTGAAATCGTTTTACTTCCACCTGTTTCCTTTGAAGAGTTTGCACAATACAAAAACCTGTCGACTATTTGAGTCCAAGTTCCAAAACCAAGTACTACTTCTGGTCTGGTAGAGTTCATTGACGTGTAAATAGAACCTATAGGATATACTGTTTGAAGTATTTCTGTCTTTAACGTTTGAAGCTCTGTTTTGTCAGCTTTTTTATCATATAAATCTTGAGCAGTGAATTTAACTTTGTTTTCATCCTCCATGACATAGACATTTCTACATCTAATGTATTTCATCGTTGTTATGTCATCCTCCGATGTTAAACCTTGTGGAAAGTTAGGAGGTTTCCAATTTAATACATCCCCACCAGTTCCATCAGGTTCTTCAACCGTTCCTGCAATATTTTCTATACAACAGTTGCGAAGAAATCGTGTGTATGTCCAACGTCACTTTTCTTGTTTAAGGTTTCTTGTAAGTTTGTAATATTTGCAATGGTATGTGTATGAGTCTTTTTAGAATATTCTTTGTCAGCTCTTGTCACTTCACTTGACATTTTATTGTCAACATATGTTTTATCCGCTTTGTCATCTAACATTTCTTGAAGTTCATCTACGTCATAGATGTTATGTGTATGATGTTTTTGTGGGTATGTTCTATCTGTCCATGCGAGAATATAGTCTCTTGTTGCATCTACATACTCTTTGTCAGCTTTGTTGTCAATATCTGCCTTCAAAAGAAGTTCATCTATAGGTTTCTCGTTTAAAGTTCTTTTTGTTGGATTTATACAAACAGTATGGTTCTTACTGTCTTGAAACAGAAACTCGTCTGTCATTGGGTTTATCGTCAGTTTTAAGTTTCCTTCTTTCAATGACTCAGATATCTTAGAATAGTTTGAAAAGTTTGTTGTGTTCTTATTTAGAGCTTGTACAATGAGTTGTCGGTTGTGTTGTATTTCTCTCATAGACGCTGTTTCTTTCGACATTTTTATTCTAGATAAAATATGCTTTCAATAGAAAAAGAAAATTCAAGAGTTGCTACAACTAAACCATTAGATGAACTTTTTACGAATGTAGGTCAAAAGTTTGAGACAGAGACCGTAAAGCATGAAGGCTATCGTTTTGACTACCCACTAAGATGGTTAAGAGACCCATCCGTCACAAAAGCTGTTGGCTTTCGTAGAATGAAGTTCATTTCAGAAGCCATACATGGTTTCCCATTTACGGTCGCTTTTGAAATTCGATACTATAACAAAGAAAAACGTACGTATGAGAAATTTGAACAGGGAAAACTTTTACAAGTGAATTTGCTTGTAAACTTAGAAACAACTCTTCAAGCTTTTCAAGAAAAAATAAACGATATCTATCTCGAATATGCAAAACAGTACAACATTGACGAAGGAGAGTACCATCTCGATATTTTATATGACAGGAAAAATGCAACTGTTAAAATCAATAGAATAGAAGACCTTGGAGAAGACGTTTATATTTCTACAAAATATAACAACTTGGCATGGTATAGATTTTTGAGGATGTTAAATCAGCCTGCAGAATATCCAGTACACCCGAACTTTTATGAAGTCGAAAACCCTAATGGAACATATGAAAATGTTTTCGACTCAGATGCTATTATAGTTCATGCTTCATTTTCTGGTGCACAAAACTCTTTTTTATGCTTGGCAAATGACTTTTACGAAAACCTACAAAGCTATATGAACCACCGAGTGGAAGTATTTCAGACTTTCAAGTATGGTTTACTACAGATGGAAGAAAGAGAAAGTTCCATTATACCATGCGTTTTACTTAGAACTTAGTTTCATATACAACTACTATCGAACGGTAAAAATATAATTTTAATACGGTTGAGGTGTTGGATTTGGTTGCCAACTTGACTGTGGTGCAGGTTCAGGCTGTTGTATAACAGGAGCTTGTTCTTCTGGTTCAGGGTCTTTGGGTATAATACCAACGAACTGACCTACTCTTTTACCAATATTTTTGACTCCGTTCCAAATTCCTCTTCCGACAGATTTTATTCCATTCCATATACCTCTTCCAACATTTCGAAAGAAGTTTCCTATTCTTCCAAAGAAACCCATTTTACTATATGTAAAAATCTAATGTCCACCTAGTCTCTTACGTTTCCTTCTGAGTTCCATAGCATTTTTTAACTGGAGCTCATACATTCTATTTCTCCTCTGATAGAAAACATACTCGGGGTCAACTCCTGTGTTCGCGTCATCTGCATAGAGTTGTTTATATCCCACTTCAGGGTTTGTATAAAACTCTTTCCATCTCATATTTGCATACCATGGTGGCAAACCTAACGCAGCGTCATTTGACATGGCAGTTTGCATTTGTACATCTGTTGGCACTTGACCATAGTTTGCCATTGCAGTTTGTATTCTAACTTCATTTGGAATATTCTCTGGGTTTGGTTGTCCAGGTTGCTGTGCATTCGCTAAGTTCTGTGCGTCCATTTAATATTAGATAAAAATATCTCTTACGAGTACATATGCTGGACATTTGCAGGCATTGGTTCATCTTCATATTCTCTATATCTTTCTGCCACGTCAAATAAGTAAATGACACAATGGAAAAAACCTAAAACAAGTAGTCCTATTTCAAACCACATTTACTTACCAATAAAATTTCTTTGTTGTGACACTTTTTCCGGTTTATAGGACCTCTCTCATATTCTATCTTATCGTATCTAAAATCATAGTCATGTATGTCCTCTAACCATCTCATAACGGTTTCCAAACCACTTTTATCGGATGTAAAGTAAAAGCATGGATGGTTATGTAAAACGTCTAAAGTTTCTAAAGAGTCTCTCAAAGTCCAGTCTACTTGGTATTGAAAATCCCATGTGTTATAGAACGGCGGGTCTACTATAAAGAAAACATTTTCCTTGTTTTTATATTTTTCATACAACTCTGTCCAATGACATCTCACAAACTCTATACCCTCAGTATATTTTTCTATGTTCTCTTTGAAAACCTTTGTATAGTTAAGATATAAAACTTTTGACATAAGTGTTTCAATGTCATGAACTCTTATAGCACCACTATATAATAGTCTAGAAGATATACTATCCCAGTCAATATACTCTGCTTTTTTCAAAACCTCTCTGACAGTATTTTTCTTATCTAATGGTATACGTTCCATCTTGCCTATAGGTATCTTTTCTTTTAACTCTTTCAATATTTTGTTTGTGTCTGGTATATGTTTGAGACGGTTCATATAGTTGTCGAAGTCATTGCATATAATCTTTGAGTCAGGAAATACAGTATGGCACAAATGAGATATATAGAAACTTCCACCGAACAAATCTACAAATGTTAGACCATTCGGTAGTTTCTTAAGTTCTCTCAATAGAATATCTTTACATCTACTCTTATTTCCAAAGAAGGGTAACGGTGGTTTTGTAAAATTCATTTTATATACAATAAAAATGTTTTTTCCCTGAAAAGTGACAGAAAAGTGACAAAACATCTTCGGGGCTAGAGGGCACGAAGTGCCTGGAAGCCCCAATACCTTTTTTTTTTTTTTTTTTAACTTTAGTTATAAGACAAATAAGAAATAACTGTTTATATATCATTTAAATAGTTTATAATAGAGATATGATATAAATTAAAAATTTTTAGTTAATTTTTAGAAATTTTTGTTTTGTTAGTTGCGTAAGCTTCAATTCTCTTCACTAAAGGATTTTTTGTTCTTGGTTTACTCTGCAAGAAAGTCTTTGAATCCAGAACGACCTGAAACATGTGGCTGCAGACGTCGTATTTCGGAATACAGTTTGGATCAGAAACAGGGTTTCCTTTCATCAGCCACGACATTGCGACAATTCTCGGAACACAAGGGAAAAGAGACAAAAAGTATTCATGTAATGTCTCTTCAATTCTGTCGAATTCGAGTGGTTTTGACATTGATTTGATGATAAGAAAAGCTTCTTTTTGGGAGGAAACTCTTCTTACGAAAACTCTTCCAACACCAATAAATGGTTGGTAGTCAATGCAGTTTCCGACAGAGATCAAGTAAACATTGTCAAAGACACTCAAACAATTTGAAACATTCTTCAAATTCATGTCATTCATAATCACGCATTCTTTCGTATTCAATTCGAATTGGTGATCACTTAACTTCCTGTAAATAACTCTGCAGTCATCAAATACTTCAGTGAACATCTCATTATTAGAAAATGAACTGTCTGCAATGAAACATTTCCTCGTTTTGTCAAGATTTTTGTCATGTAAATTTTGATTTTTGACACTTTCTTCAGAATTTTCGAGTAAACCGTCATTTTGTATGACTTCGTCAGATTTTTTGCGCAAAATGTCAATGTTGACGATTTTACCGTCTTCTGACTCATTTTTGACAGAATTCTCATGTAAACTGTCATTTTTGAGTGTTTCTTCAGAATTTTTGACAATTTTCTTATTTTCTGACATATTTATGACAGAATTATCACGTAAACTATCATTTTTATCAACATTTTTGACAGTTTTGTTGATTTCTGTTTCTTTTTTGTCAGAATTTTCTTGAGAACTGTCAGTAATGAAGATTTTGTCAGAATTTTCTTCATTTTTGACATTTTCAAGAAAAGTTTGTTTCTTTTCTGACAAAATTGACTTATTTTTGACAACTTTTCCTTGTAAGATGTGGTTAGTGTCGAACAGATGCAATGAGTTACTTTCATCGTTAGTTTCTGTCTGATTTTGGTCAGAATCAGAAGAGAAATGAAGATTGGAAAGTAAATTGTCATCGGATGACTGGTTTTTATCAGAAACACTTTGTTCAACAATTTTTGGAGTATTTCTGACTTCTTTTGACAGTTTAAGTGAAATCAATTGGTTGTTTATCTCTTCACTCGTCATTTCACTTTTGATTTCTTTGTTGTTTTGTTCGTTTTTGATCGAAATATCAGGGAATAACTTTGAATCAACTTTCTTCTTCTTGACTTCTTTCGAAATGATTCCTTTGGATAGAAATGAACTCTTTTCTGTTGATTCTTTGTCTCTGATTACATCTTCAACTGTTTCATAGTAAGTAATCTTCAGATTTGGATTTGCTTTACTTACTTTGCTGGAAATAGGTGCAGGCTTCATTATACTTGTCTTGTTTGATACTTTTGGTATCGATTTAACTTCTTTTTTGGTAAGATTCAGATTGATATTATATTCTGAAGGAGGAGTATCGGTAAAATCGCCTAAAACTATTGTACTTGGAGTAATATCCTTATGTGGAGAGTTGCATGGGATAATGAAGTCGAAATCAATTGGATATTCAACAAATTTTGAACAGACCCTTAATTTCAATGGATTGAAGGTAATTACGGGTTCATCGAGTAGTTCGTATTGTTCTTCTTCGATTTCTTCAAGGTTTAGAGTTGTTTTGCTGTCAAGATACGTATCAAATTCTGTATTAACTAGAGGAACCTCAATGAAATCGATTTGAGGTCCGGAATTGAACTTGTAGTTCAAATCGATCATTTCTTCCGCTTCTGGGTAATCTGAATCTTCTTCATCCTCGTATAATTCTACAAATTTACAAGATGGCAAAATTCTCATCTCAAAATCGATAAGATCAATGGGAGGAAGTTGTAAGGATGGAAGGCTCTGCTTAATGGATGCCTCTGGAATCTTTATTAACGTCGGCAGACCGTAGGAAGGATAAAGAGACATTTTTTTAGTTCATAAATCCATTCAAGCGCATCAAATTCTTTTTTGAGGCGAAAATGATCGTATAAAAATGAATGATTGATGCTTGCAATAACTTTGTCATTTGCTATCATTTCAGAATTTACCACAAAAATTCAGTAACTCCGAGTGCAAAATTTTGAATCATGAAAAAATTTGATTAAAATGGACCAAGATCATCATTTCGGCATGACATCCTGAGATACCTATATAATTCTTGTGAAATGAAGCTGACTCGATTTGTTTATCCATTTGATTAAATCTCAGCGGCGAGGCTTTCTGCTTATCAAGCTCTTGTTAATTGGAGAAATGCTTAAACGCATGAAGTTTTCCTTAAATGTTGAGAGCGAATGTAGATTTCCACGATAAGATTCGGTAATATTATTTGGTCTCTATCATTTTTATTCATAAATAGAGGAAAAAGTATTCGTATAGGATGAGATCACTAAAAATGTGCTGCAATAATTTAGCAGCATAAAACCATTCAATGAATTATGGGCTTTTTAATATTGCCATCAAATATGCATATGCAAAGAACCCATTTTAACACTGTTTTTAGATATCGTAATTCCATCGTTTGTTTGCGGTTCCAAAAAAAAATTCATAATGAAATTTTGAGAGATAACATGGCCATGATTCTATAAGATATAAATCAATAAAAAATTAATAAAATCTGATATTTGTATAATACTCAGTATTATTAAGCCGGGCATCTGAAAAATCTTTGAAGAGTTGGCAGGTCATGTCAAAATTTATTCACTGAATCTTACATTCGATCGCTATGATCATAAATCATATTTTTACCTCATTTTCAGATACGTATTAAAAGTCACATTCAATTTCTCGATTGGGTTTTCGTTTTCCAAGATTTATTTAAACAAGCTTACAACAATGAATCATTCCGAGATCCGAAAATAAAATTATTCACAATCAAAGATTTTTCGTTTGATATATTTCATAGAAAATTTTGAATACTATGTAGTAATTCAGTAGTGAAATCTCCATTTCTAACTGAAATGTCGTATACAGATTCCTCCGGCGACAAACACAACGAATCATTGACGATCACACCTTCAAACACTACCACAGATAACTTCTCCGCCATGTCCATTGATGATGCAACTCATCAATCAGTAGATTATGGTCCAATTGAACGCGAAAAGCTTGGCGATCCCTTATTACCTCATTTAGCATCACATGGACAAGTCAATAATGACTCACAACCGAAATCATTAGCACGAGGAATGTTAGCTTGGCACGTTAACCTCATTTCACTTGGAGGAATCATTGGCTCATGTTACTTTCTTGGTGTCGGAATCACATTTAATGCAATGGGCGCAGTTCCAGTTTTGATCGGATATTTCTTAGCTGGTGTGGCTGTTTTTGGTGTTATGCAATCATTTGCGGAGTTACTTGTTAATTTGCCACGTCACGGATCTTTCATAGCATACAACCGCGAGTTTTTGGGCGACGCATTAACAACAGCGATCGGATGGTGTTTTTGGCTCAACTGGGTCATGTACGTGCCTTCAGAGTGTCTTGCATTTGCAACCTTCATGAACACGTACTACACGATTCCTTTCAAAAACAAAGCCTGGTCTGATTTTGTTTGGGGCTCCATTTGCTTGGTCCTTCTCACGACGATCAACTTATTTAAGGTTAAGTGCTTTGGCTATGTCGAAAGTATCAACGCTACCCTCAAGATCCTTGTTATTGCATTTTTCGCAATTGTTGCTTTGTTTATTTGGTTTGGTGTCATTGGCGACAAAGTCCATCCATTTACTGATGAACGCGTAGGTTTTATTGGCTCTAAAATCATCACACAAGGAGAAGGAACGATGGCACATAGATTATTCCCGAATGGATACTTATGCATGGTTACATACCTAATCATTGTATTAGTGAACTTCCAAGGATCCGAAATTGTCGGTCTTTCTGCTGCAGAAACACAAAATCCCGAGAAGAATATTCCAAACGCTTGCAAACAAGTCGCGATCCGTATTATTATCGTATACTTGATTCCTATATTGTTAATTACACTCATTGTTCCATATGACAAAGTTCCAAAGACAGATTCAGTCTTCGCATTCGCTTTGACTTCATATGGACTCAAATGGGCAGGAAAGATATTCACGTTTATCACCCTCGTCTCTGCATTTTCATGCGCGAACAGTGGTTTGTACGGAACAGTTCGTAGTATTTACGGTTTATCGAAAGAAGGATTAGCTCCAAAATTTTTGTCAACTTTGAACAAATTCAATTCGCCAAGAAACGCGATTTTGTTCACTTTGTCATTCATATGGATTGTTTTCTTGTTTGGTTTCTTGAGTCAGAACTTAGGAGTTTTCGGAAGCAATGCTTCTTCTCTTTACGAGTATTTACTTAACATCAGTGGCTTTTTCGGAACAATTATGTGGATTGGAATCATTGTTTCTCAGATCATTTTCAGAATTAAAATGAAAAGGAGAGGATACAATCCGAAATCAGATATTGTTGCACACGCAATGTTTTATCCTTACTTACATATATTTTCCATTGTTTTGCAAACTGTTGGTTTGTTTTCACTGTTATTTACAAAAACTGGTTGGACTATATTTGCTGCTGCCTCGGCAATTTTCTTATCAATTGTTTTCATTTTCTTGATTCTCCAGAAATGCGGAAAAATATCAACAAACGCTGTTTACGCAGAAGATGAAGTTTTATTCGACATGAAATACCCTCAGAAGACGTACTTCGGTGTTGACCATGTTAATTTGCTTGACAAGGATAAGCTTCTCGTCCAAGATCCTGAAATTCATTAACACTTTATTTTTCTTTGTTTTTTATTTATCTCTAAACTGTTATTTATGATAAATTCTAATTCATTTATCGGTACACTTACGCCCATCTGACTTTGATTCAAATTTTTGAAGACTGAAGTGAAGCGACATTGAAGGCTATGCGGTACTGATGTAAGTGCACCCTTTCTGTAAAAGTATGTTATTTTATTAGTATGATCACATTTTTCCATACGATATTCTTAATAAAGACTCTAATTTCTTGACTATACTTGTAATTATTGATAAACATATTTCTCACATTTTGTATGAATATTGAATTAATTCAGAACCCGGCCTCGAAATTTTTGAATGTTCGCAACATTAGCTAAACTTTAAAAAGGTACCAAATAGCTTAGCTAATGTATACTAATTTTATCTAGCCTTGAAATGTATACTAATTTTATTAAATATATCCATAATATTACCAGTTAACATGTATATTATAATGCTAATATAATATATATTTTATATATAATATAATACATGTAATATTACAAAGTATTACAAAGTTAAGGGAGGCCTAACGACCAGTTAAGATTCTCAATTTTTTGTGAAGTTTACAAGAAAAATGAGATTCTTTAAGGGTGCCCTATAGACGATAGACCACCCTCAGAAAAGCACTTTTAAGGCTATTATATTGAGAACTAGAATCCGGATAATCCATTCATTGGAGTTCTAATAAGGTTAATTTTGTGATGTTTACATTATCGTTATAGGGCACCCTTAAGAGTGCACTTACCACTTTTTGACATTCTCTCAAATTTTCTGACAAAAGAGGTTCAAATCGTTGTTATCATGAAGATCCGATATAATATTATGACCTATTATTGAATGTTCATATAAAAAATAAATCTGAAAAGAAAAAAATCTGCTTAAGGGTGCACAAGGAGGATTACGGTTTTTTAATCCTCCTTTTTTTCGAAAAAAAATCCTTGTACTTTGGGTACTTCGAAACATGAAAAAAAGCGAAAAAATGAACATTGGTCCAAACACATTCATTCATTAAGTGCTTGCTTCCCTTTCATTCACAGCTTCTAAATTCAAAATTTATACCAAATTAAAATTATTATTTCGAATTTACAGTAATTAATTTCAAACAGATCAGTTACCTCATACACACTGCGTTCAGTTATTGTAAATTTCAAACCCACATTATGATTTTCGTTTTATTAATTGCGAAATTTCAAACAATTGTCTCCTACCTGTTTTGTTATATGATTCACATTCAAATATTACTAGATTGTTGTGTTACTAAACAAATAACTTTTAATCACTTTTTTATTTTATTTTTTTTATTCATTGGAAGAATGAAGATTTACCTTCCTCAATTTATGTACAAATTCATGATTTGAGGATTCTATGAGTTTTAGGAGAATTTGGCAGAAATAAGAAATATTATTTCAAATCCATCAATTTTTGCCAAAAATAATATAGAATATCTAATACATGCTATTTATATAATCTATCATATGATTTTGAAGACTAAATCTCCACTTTTTAAAATTTTTTATCCTCCGAGTGCAGGTCATGGTTTTTTTGGGCCTTTTTTTAGGTCCTTGAAAAACGAGTTTTTTCGAAAATAATTTGTATAAATAGCATCATCATATATGTACCAATGATATGGTAAAAAGAAAAATTATAATTCTCGGTCAAAATACAGAGAAAAATAAACATGCTAAAAATTTTTCGAAAATCCTATTTTTTCGAGTGTTTTTCTAAATCCCTTAAGGAGTTGAGACTGGACCTCGAAAATTATATATGATATGAAGCTACCTTATGTGATTCTAAATGATTTATATTAATCAAAAAAATCTATTCCTGTAAAGAAAAAAATAAGTTTTTATTATTTTGGAGGATTAGCAAATTGATAAAACTCTCTGAAAAAATTGAGGACTTTTTAATCCTCGTAGTGCACCCTTAAGGTCGCCAAAAAAAGTGCGGAAATTAAAAACCGCAGTTTGAGTACTTTCTGAGAGTCTGTTTGTCAGAAAGTATACATTTGTAAACTTTCTGACACTAAAATTTTTTTAGTCCTTTCAAAGTTTTTGACAATGTCAAAAAGTATACATCGGGGCTCTCAATTTTCCTCTCAAACGACGGTTTTTTAAAAACGCTCATTTTTTCATCGACCTTATATTGGGGTGAAATTTATTTCACAAATTAGAGCGTGTCAAATAATTGAGAGAATGTCAGAAAGTGGCAATTGCACCCTTAAGCGTTTTTCTCTTTGTATAATATATATTACATTATGATTAAGGAAGTCAATTTGGAAAATTGTTTTCACTTTAGGAGAATATAATTTTCCATTTGGAAAATTTAAAAAGTGAGACGCGCAGGATTCGAACTTTTTTAAAAGTTGATTTAAATGAATTTTAGTGTGGAATATAAGGATAATATCATATTTAAAATAAGATATACTAGTTTAGGTGGTATTAATTTTTTCGATAAATTTGAGAGTATGTACGTTTAGGGCATGAAAAGTGTCAATTCGCTCAGCGAAAGCTGAGCTAGCTTCGTTCTCGAAAGAATAAGGAAGGAGTGAAGGAGAATGATACAGAAGTTGACACATTCATATCATTTCAACAAATTTTGATCAAATTGAAATTCAATAAAATTCAATTCAATTCATATCCTTCAGTCAGTACATTGATATCCTTCTGCATCACAATGATAACTCGGGCATCAATAGTTTTACAACTAACTCAGAAAAAACAAGATTATTACTTCCTGCTTACAGCTTTTAAAAAGTTTCGATGATAAAAATCACTCTACTCTCGTTTATCGACATATGGTGATAGTAGGTAAACATATTCTTATCGATATTAATAAAAATATTTGTACGAAAATCTTATCCAATTAGAGAGTTATTCATAAAGTATATGATAATTATAATTACTTTCTCTTTGTTTTATCTTTGAATAAACAATTTAATTTAAATTGCATAATATTTTTTGGTTGAAAGACAGGAAACTTAGTTGAGTTTGTATTATTTTTATCGTTTAATTCATTGTATCAGTGAGTGATCCAGATATTTAAGATATTTAGAAAAAAAATTATTAATTTGATTAACAAATTTTAATCAAAATAGCAAAAATCTATTTGATAGCTGTAAACAAACAATAATTTTTATTTCAAGCAAAATCACTTATTTTCATCTAAACGTATAAAATTGTCAATTTTATGAAAATAAATTGAAAATCTCATGAAATGTAAAGTAGAGTAATATTTTTCAATTTTCTTTTTTTCTTTGTCTCAAATATTTTCTGTTGGGAATTTTCTTGTTATCAAAAAATAATTTTAATATTTGTTTATTTCATTACATACAATAAAATTTTAAAAACTCTATTTCTTCTCAAGAAAATTTTTTCCTTCATATGAAGAAACATTTTGTTCTCCATTTGATACTGAGTCTAAATCACGATTTTTGAATTTTCTTCTTTCCAAATTTCTTTTTTCCAAATTAGAAGTTTAATTCAAATTTTCAATAGTTTATATATTTTCTCAAACCGTCTCAGATTTTCTCACTTTTTAGGGATTTTCTCTCAAAATATACAAAAATAGTAATATCAATACATGTGTCTAATATACTTTAAAACCATCGTGACAAAATTCAAAAACGAAGAGTTCTTCTCTCCAAATTTTTTTCAAAATCAAAAAAATGAGATAAAAAAGTACGTTTGGAAAATTCATTTTTAGCATTTTAGGAATTTTCTCACTTTTCTTCCAAATTGACATCCTTATTATGATGGACTTTTTCCTCCAAAGTTCTTTCAATTAGCATTCTACATTGAAAGGGAGGAAAAGAATATTTGAATGAGCAAAAGCGGTTTTTGGAATAGTGGGAAATTTTGGGAGAAAGTCATCTGAAGAAGATGACGATCCCTGGAATTACTACTTCAATAGCCAATTTACAAGTTCCGCAACTGAGAATTGCCAGAATTGTAATCCAACATCCTCAAATGGTCAATATTACTTAGATGAATGCAATTTTTTTGATGATAATGGCCGAGTTATCAACTTTAGTCCTGTTACCAACACTTTGTTTCTACATAACCGATGTTCTTTTAGTAATTGCACTTCAGAAGAAGATGGAAGCTGCGTTTACTACCAAATTGGCAGCAACAGTTCAATTGTTCAACGAAAGTTCTGTTGTACGAAATGCGAAAGCTCTAAAAATGGGCATTTTTCATATACATCTGTTGGCCCAGATAACTTAAACTTTTTTATTGAAAGTTCGCTTTTCGATGTAGGAAATGAAGATGTTGGTAAAGAAGTAATTCGTTCAGAAGAAGGGAATATCTTAGTTTCATCAACAAATTTCTCATCAAATAAAGCTACAGATGATCCTGTTGGATTTTTTTTCAAGAATTCAGTGGATGGCTTTAAAATAACATTTAATTATTCAACTGTTGTTAATAATTTAGGAACAGGTAATTCAGCTTCAGTATTATATATTTGGTATAACTCTTTGATTGTTTCATGTAATATTATAAATAATACTAATACACAATCTATGAAAGGAATTATTTACCATTCCATAAATTCTCTTACTGTAAAAAATTGTTCTTTTATTAACAACACTTGTCCTGAAGGTTCATGTTTGATATATAACAATGATGATCAATTAACAGTTGATAGTTGTTACATTGACAATTCGATTTCAAAAACATTTAAAAATGATGTAGTACCTACTAATACAAGAGAACTATTTACTAACAAATTGATTCATTTTTCAACTGATATTTGCCAAGCAAAATTTGCAATTATCAATAAAAGTATTTCTAAAGTTAATAAACTTTCCCTTTTCTTCATTTCTTTACTAAACATTAAAAAATCTTCATAATCTTACGCCCATCTGACTTTAATTCTAATTTCTGACAACATGTGCAAGACGTAATTGAAAATTAAACTTAAGGATGCCCTTACATTTCATAAAATTACTTAAAATATATGATTAATATGAAGATAAAACTTTGGGACTCTAGATCGCTTTTTATATCGAGTTGAATGATTATTAAATTTTCAAAGAAATTCTGAAGCGTATTCAAAAGTGTAAAAATTTAAAAATAGAATAATATTTCCCCTTATTTCCACTAAAATGCTATTATTTCCTAATAATTATGTTATTTTCTCTATACTTACACTGAATGTCCCGCACTTATTTGGATAGCCGTTTACAATTTCCAATCATTGCAAATATCGGTCAACGCAATGACTTTTGTTAGCTTTGTCGTTCTGCCTAGTTTAGGTACCTTTTCATAAAGTTGTGTACCAAAAATCCAGAAATTTCTCCATGATGTATTAGATAATTAAACAATCATACTTTTATTTAAAAAATAGTCAAGTTGATTCCAATAGATTCATGTAAGCATAACAAAAATAATCTGACTATTTTAAAAATAGTCAAACATAACGATAATAAACATCACAAAAATAATAATATTAGAACTCAATTGCATGGATCACCCTGATTCTAGGTGCTCAATATAATAGCCTTAAAATTGCTTTACTGGGGGTGGACTATCGTCTTTAGCGCTATATTTTTAATACAGTTTTTCTGCCTTCGACACTTTTTTCGGTGGACTGTAATATTCGAAGGCAGATAGTCGTAATTGCTCCCTTATAAAAAAATTGAAATCATAAATTTAAAGAGAACTTAAACTTAAAACTGTTTACTCCTGAGCCCAGGCCTTGATGATCTCAAGGGTGAGGTTGAAGCACTTGCAAGCTGTTTCAACTGTGACGCTCTCTTCAACGGAGTGAGCGCCGTGGATTGTTGGGCCGTATGAGACGCACTCGAGGTCTGGGTAGCCTCTGTTCTGGATGCAGCCGCATTCGAGACCAGCGTGGATAGCTGTGATCTCTGGGTATGCGTTGTAGAGTTTGTGGTATGATTCCTTAGCGATCTCTGTGATGCGAGCCTTGAGGGCAGCTGGCCATGGGCCTTGGATCTCTTCCTCTGGGATGCGGATTGGGCAGCCGACAGCGCGAGCAAGAGACTTGTTCTGGTTGACGAGCCAGTACATGCGTGTGGCTTCGTTGGAGCGGGCGTAAACCTGAACGTAGAGAACGTCGTCCTTTGTGCGTGTGATGGACATTGACTGAGATGTGCGGACGATGCCCTTGATCTCTGGGTGCATTTCCCAAACGCCGTGGTAGATTGAGGAAAGGAGATCGAGAACCTTGTTGTGGCAGCACTCGCAAAGGCAGAGTGGAACATCAACCTTCTCGATGGCAAGCTTTGGTCCCTTGACTTCGATGGCCTTTGACTCCTTGACGATTTCATCATGGAGCTTCTTAGCGAGGGCCTCGAACTTCTCTGGTTCTGATGTAACGACTGTGGCAATGCACTCACTTGGGATAGCGTTGTGCTTGTCACCACCTTCGATTGTGGCAAGGCGGAATGGGATGCCCTGAGCCTGGATCTCAAGAAGGATGCGGTCGATCCATTTGACGGAGTTGGAACGGCCGGAGTCGATGAGAAGACCTGTGTGGCCACCCATGAGGTTTGTAAGGTGGAGCTTGAGGCCTGTGCCTTCAACCTTCTCCTTCTTGATTGGGAGTTCGTAGTAGGCGGAAAGGCCACCAGCGCAGGATGTGTAGAATGTGCCCCACTCTTCGGAGTCGAGGTTGAGGAGAGCACGAGATTTGAGGAATGGTGGACCAGCGAGCTTGCCAGCGCCGATGAGGCCGACTTCTTCATCGAGTGTGATGAGGAACTCGAGTGGGCCGTGCTGGTACTTATCGCGTGTTTCGATAAGAGCGTACATGGCAGCGACAGCAATGCCATCATCAGCACCGATTGTGGAGATGCCAGATGTGAGCTTTCCGTCTTCGAGCTTTAAGAAGACTTGGCCCTGCTCGTCGAACTTGCCGACAGAGACGATATCAAGATGTCCCTGGATGCAAAGTGGCTTAACGTTTTCTAAGCCAGCAGAAGCTGGGATGGAGAGAAGGATGTTGCCGATTTCATCCTCTGCGACTGTAGCGCCGAGCTTGTGTGCCCACTCAATGCAGGTCTTGCGAGCACCTTCGAGCTGGAAGGATGGACGGTGGACCTCTGTAAGGGCAAGGAACCACTTGAAGAAGGCTTGGTGGTCAACTGGGAGCTGCTTAAGGAGTTCCTGTTTTGGAGCACGAAGAAGAGCGGAGGCTTCCATTTAAAAGTGAAGTGACTTTTCAAGACGATGAAAAATAAAAGTACTCACAAAATCTAGATTGAGAGGCGGTCAATGACTTTTGAGGGAAAATTAACACATGGAATTTAATATTATTTAGGTTGATATTCTTGCTTATTATTTCAGAAAAAAATCTTAAAAATTTCAATATGAAAATTGAAAGCAATTCAAAAAAATTACTAACATGTAAATTTTAATATCCTATGCATAATTTCATATTTTGAACATTTTTTATTTTTGTTTAAAACTTAAAATTTTGCGAATTTAATATAATTTATAAAATATAATACGTATATATATTTAAAATACACTAAATTTAATTGTTAATTGACGTTTTTGGGAATGAATTTTATCAAAACATGCCTGAATCCGAAAATTTGAAAGAACGAATTACACAATCATATATGTAGAATTCAAAATACAAACTTAAAGATTGTATACGTTTAAAATTATTCAGATTGTGTTTGATTTCCACTCATTCTGTTTCTTTTGAACTCTAACACTAACATTTCATGATGATTACATGATCCATTTATACATGGTTGAATTGTTCCAGATTCTACCAGAAAATCAATCCAAATTTCTCAATGCATTCAAGTTGATTGGACAAAATTTAAAATTTATCAGCCTGTTTCCAGAGAAACTCATATATTCCCTAATGAAATGTAATTTTTGCTACATTTATTTCAATCAAATTTCAAAAAATTGACTGCAGAGCTTGAAAAGTTGATGAATCATGTTGTTATTAGATGTACATATTAGATTTACTATTTCCAAAAAAATGCTCAAATTTGAATAGTTGTTAGAAAATTTGGAATTACACTCCTTACATTATATATAATTAAATGTTTAAATTTTATTTATTTTTCCCTTTTAATTTTATAACTTGCTCTATCAAAACTAACCTCTCAATTGAAGGCCACAAAATCTAAGTAGTGAGGGTACACAAATTTTGTATGGAGTACGGTTCAATTTTTGAGAGCCTCACTACTTAGATTTTGTGACTACCTTATTTAAATTTTTTATCCAATATTTCTGATTTCATATGTTACTAAATCGATTTTGAATATGACATCTCAACTGCTAGTGGTGTCACTTTTTAATTGTATTTTTTTTGTCATGTATCCGATTTCAGATCATATTGCAATAATCAGACCCTATTATACATGTTTTCCTAACTCAAAAATCTCCTTGATCGAATGAAATTACATTTGTCATAACCCAAACGATCATGTAATCGCTCTCTGGTGTGGAAATTAAAGCTGATGTGCTATATAAATGATAAGGTTACATTCTCATTTAAGATTTTTACTTTATTTCTATTTAGCCACATCAAAGTATGTGCTTAGTCCACACAACCAGTATAGAATTCAAAATGGTCGAAGCTAAATAGATCGATAACAACAATATTATTATCATATCTTCAGCTTTCATACATTCCGAAATAATATATGAAGCATTTCCCAACATTTCATCTAGTATTGCAAGCCATTGCTAAGGTTACAAACAAACGATTATATAAAACTATGTTGAACTGCAACAAAAAAAATTATTGACAAAGAAATTGAATTCGTTTTTTCTCATCTCTATAAAAATAATTATCTGGTTACAAGTTAGTAAATATATATGTTCAAAGCATATAAAAATCTAAATAAAATAATAAATTTTTTGTGAATAGAAAACTATGTATAATTTTAGCAGAAATAGAAGTTAAAGTAACATAAATTAAACAAGTTTGCAAACTCCTAATGAGCATTCAGAACCGTCAGAATCATCATTCTCCCAACGATCTTTAGCTATTAAGCAGAAGTCTGCAAGTGGTAATGGAGGATTAAAGTGTTTGCTATTTGTAAGTCTCTTGAGATTTTGTTTAATTTGATTGATTTCTTCTTCACTTCTTGTATCTTTGTTTGGTATTGGGAATGGTTCAGCATAAGATGTGATAGGTACGTCTGCAATGAATGGGCAATATTCGCCTAATAAATTATGACCTGGATCAGTCGAATCATCCGAATCAGTCATTTTCAATTAAAAAAGTGACAAAGTAGAATCATCTTATGTTTTTACAACGAGATCTTTGAGGTTGTACTATTTTAGTCTGGTTTATTACGATTTGAAACAAATAATTTTAAAAACTGAAGTTTGAGAAAATTGTCATTACATTTGTTAGATAATTCCTGCAGCATGCATTGAGGAAGCTTTCAAAGTCTCTAGATATTACATTTGTAGGTGTAAAGATAATTCATTTTCTTTCTTGCTTGAATTTGTATTAGAAATTGAAATTGTTCATCAAAATTAGGGATCCAAAGAATATCCTATGTTATCTAATGCAGCAAATAATATCAAAAATATCTCAGAATGTGCCAATAATGATATAAAATTCTTGGAAGAGCTATTAATATCAAATCTCACTATATGAGTGATAGTTACTTAGAATTTAAATATTTATGCCTGAGATATAGCTGAAAGATGTGAATGTATGAGTTATCTAACAACGTTGATTGGGATATTATAGATTCGAAATAAATTGAAGTCTTCAACAAGAAATATTCATTTAGTTACAATGATCTGTGATTTATGGTGCTAGTAAGCATGGTCAGAACTGGAATTGATTTTCAAGATTTTAGATCACATGTCGGTCAAAAATGCTTTCGATTTTAATTTCTAAGGCCACATGCGAGCCAAATATGGTCTTAGATGTACTTTATATACGTCCAGGTAATAACCCTCTAGAAATGTATTCAGCATGTGATCTTCCTTTATGTTTTACGCAGAAAAATATTGTTTTAACAAATAAAGATCATATTTTTCGATGTTCATCACATTTAATGGCGATAAAAGCATCTGACTTAAATAATGGTACCAAAAAAATATGCGAATCTACTTTAACAAAACAAAATCAAACAATAATCTCTCGAATGCTGGCCAACGACTTTCAGCTTACTTTTAACATAAATGGTAGTCGTGCTACTGTTCCCCTAAGTCATGATAGGAAATATTTAAACACACATTATACATTCAAACTTTTCTCAAATTCTAACGGACATTTAAGGATCAATTCCATTCAGTCATCCAATCCAGTCAACATTTCAAGCGGAAAACCTATCAATATCACTTACAATTTTGAAAGAATCAATTCCGTGAAATATTTTTCATTTCCAGACTCTCTTAAGAAGGTTTATTTCTTCATAGCATTATTCCTTGCTATATTTTTCATTCTCATTGTCAAACCAGATTTCTCATCTCGTCCTGTTTCTGCAGTCGTGTCCGCAGTACCTCAAAACAGTTACATTCTGGCCGTGTTTTGTGGAGCCGGTGCTGGAATTATCGCGTTTTCTATCGCTCTTTCAATTATTTTCTCAATAAAACCGGCAGCTTACAAATCCTGGTGGCTTACGTATGCTATTCCTGCTGCAGCATCTTCGTTCATCAATAGTATCGTTACATCTTTCCTTTGCGTCACTTGGAAATTAAAAGATATCGCATCTGCCCATTATTTCGCGCCATTACTCGTTCCAGCCGTATTCCTTACGATTTTGTTTAGTATACTATGGATTCCTGTTTGCGTAGGAAGCTGTATTAGCATTCCTTTGAAATTAATTTTTTATTTTATCATTTCAGTTATATTTATTAAGCTTCCTGTGAACCTAATTACATCCCTTATTGCAAGTTTAACATTTAACTTCAATAATTTCCATCATTTGATCAACATTTCCGTTCGTCGTCTTGTTTTCAATCGCAGAAGCTTTTTAGTCTTCGCCAACTGTCTTCTTTTTGTTATAATATTCCCAGCATCACGTTCTATTGATAATGCCTTCAAATATCCAACATCAAATGTAAATTGGTTCTCAATTTTCTATGTAATACCAATTTGGTTCTTCTGTTGCATTTGTATAGGTATATCAAGCCTTGCCCTCGGAGATGCCGAAGATTGGGCGATGTTTGCTTTCATATCTGCTGGTGGAGCCGGATTTGTCTTCTGGGTGGTCAAAATGATCATCTACATATTCGTAGATAAGATGAATGGAACTCTTCAGGTCTCTTTCCAAGCAGGAATCGTTGGTTTCATCTGCGTCTTCATATCTCTAGCGGGAGGATCCATAAGTACCCTCTCTGCATTGTTCTGGATCATGATCAATGGATAAGTTACTTTTTATTACCTTTTTATGTTTATATTATTTTATTGTTTTATTATCTATAAGTTTTGTTAGTTTTTTATAAATATTTATAATAGAATCAACTAACTTGATATGTTTCTTCTTGTATGAATCTTATTTTCAAAATTATGTCGTAATAAATTTTTCCAAAGTTTGATTTCTTGCATACATTATAAAGAATATTGACATTATTCATTCTTTAGTTCATGTCAATATTGGAGAAATCCCTACAGGCTTGCACAGCTTTGAAAATGAAGCAAAGTTCGGATGATGCATATATTTAAACTGCAAATAGAGAACATCCAGATCATGCTGTTGTTATCAAGTATGTCCCATATATTGGTGACTCAAAGCGTGCTCTCTATGAATATGATTCAAAACTCTTCTATGGTAGCAAGAACATAGTCTCTGTTCACAAAAAAAATGGTATTTTCGAAGAAGGCAACGAAAAATCTAAGAAATTGCTGAATTTAAACAGAAATTGCACCATTAGAGATAAGAAATTCAGTAATTTCTTGTTGATTTCTTGATGCTGCAATATGAAGAGCAGTCCGCCCGTCAAAATTCTTTTCATTGATATTTCCACTGTGTGAAATACGAAATTCAATAGCTCCTTTACAATTTTTGAATGCTGTTTGATGATGAGCTTTTACTCAATCATTATCTTTTTCATTGATGCTTGCACTATGCAAAATAAGAAGTTGAACAATTTCTTTACTATATTGTGCTGCATAATGATGAATAGTTCGTCCGTTAGCATTCTTTTTATTGATATTTGCACCATGTTAAATAAGAAGTTCATTAACTGAAATTTTGAGATGATTATGTCATTAAATACTTGTTGTAATCAACTGAAATAAAATCTTTTGCAAAAATTGATTATAAATTAAATATGGTTGATATGAATGATATTTGATGATTTGATAAATTGAATATCATTGAATTTTTTAAATTAATTTTTCGTTTTCTATGAAAACAAGAGAGAATAGTTGTTGGTGAATCTTATACAGAAAATGATCGCGTTCTTTATGCGACAGATCGTAGTGTTCATGTCATTGTCAAAGCCACATGCGAAGTCATCCGTGGTGATCCAACATCAGTCAACTACGCATTCAAAGGAAGCAAAGACACTTTATTATCAGTTACATTCCAACAAGGTTGCAAATTCAAAACTATTGAAGACTATGCATTCAGTGGTTGTACAAAACTTACTTCTCTTAACTTTACAAACTGCTATTTTCTTCAAGAAATTAGAACACATGCCTTTGAAAACTGCAATAAGCTATCAGAAACTATTCTCCCAGAAAATTTCTCTGAAATCTCTCCTCATATGTTTAGAAACTGCCTATTTTCTCAATTTAATGTTCCTAACTCTATCACAAAATTGAGCACTTATTGCTTTGCTGGCTGTAAAAGTCTTCAATCGATCAATATTGGACCTGAATCTCAATTAGTCAGCATTGAATCATGCGCTTTTCGAGATACATGTCTCGAACGCATTTATCTTCCGAGTAATCTATCTTATATTAAAGAAGATGCTTTTTATAATGTTTTGGTTTTTCACGAAATTGTTTGTTCATCAGAAAACAACAATTATCACTCGGAAAGTGGTGTTTTGTATAATAAAGCTAAGACACTTATCATTTTGTGCTTTGATAAGAACATAACATCTTTCATTATGCCAGATACAGTAAATTCGTTAACACAAAGTTGTTTTTCTAACACAATGATTGAGAATATCACATTCAGTCCCAATCTGAAAACTATCCCATCCTTATCGTTTTCAGGATCTCATTTAATCAATGTCACGATTCCAGATTCTGTCACAAGTCTTGGTGATTCAGTATTTTCCAACTGCAGATATCTTTACAATGTTTGTGTTGGTAACGGTATCACGATTATTCCTACAAAATGTTTTCTTTCTTCTAACATCACGAACATCACATTGAATGAACGTATCACAACAATCAGAGGTTCAGCATTTTCAGAATGTCCAAACTTGAAATACATGAAACTTCCCCAAACACTTATCAACATTGAAGGCAATTGTTTCCCTGTTGATGCTGTCCTTGATTTTGCAGATGGTGCTCCATTTTCATTTGATGACCAACGATTGCTTTACAACGGTGATAAAACTATTGTTTACATGCGATTCAGCCAAAATGAACATTATAACATTCCATCTACAGTTTCTATTATTTCTAATGATATCTTCAATGGGCAAACAAATTTGAAAACAATTCATTTTGAAGCAGATTCATCATTGACTAAAATTGGAGACAACGCTTTTCGTGAGTGTATTAATCTTGCAGAAATCAACTTCCCAAGCAAACTTACCACTATCGGAAGTAGTTCATTCTATCATTGCAATTCACTAAAGATTATCCATTTTCCTGATTCATTGATTACAATCTATGGATGGGGATTTTCAGCATGTTTGGGGTTAACCGAGATTTATTTTGGAAAAAGCATCAAAACAATTGTAACGGCCGCATTTGGAAGTTGCACATCATTAGAAAAAGTAGTTTTCGAAGGATCTGAAGAAGGTACAACTCTTGGATATATTTCATTTCTAAATTGTTTCAAATTGAAGACAGTTATATTAAGGAATATTACTAAAATTGATAGTCAATGTTTCACTAATAGTATATCGTTATTATCTATAGAAATTCCAGAAACTATTCAAGAAATCGGTTCTCAAGCATTTCAATCATCAGCGATTGAAAACATTACATTTTTAGGCAATCCTAATATTACAAAAATTGAAAGAAGCGCATTCAATAATGCGAAGAATCTTAGAACTGTTGTTCTTCCTTCATCCATCATAGAGATCAAAGAAAACGCATTTGAATCCACAAACATCACGACATTCACAGTTCCACATGATACACAGTCAATCTCCGAATATGCATTCCGAAACTGCAAGAACCTTGAAACGTTCATCATAAGTGATAACAGTTCATTCTGTTCACTTGGCTACTATGCGTTCGAAGGCTGCACATCACTCAGCATATTTATTTGCAACGAAAGTGATCATTTCACAGTTGACAACCATGCTCTTTTCGACAAGAAAAAGACCATGTTTATCTGTTTTCCTCCTGCATCTCCATGCAAATTCTTTTATGTTCCAACAACAATACATGAGATCTCTGCCGGTGCATTTCTTGGTTGCAAGAATATTATCAACATTCTTATTCCAGACAATTCAGTCCAACGCATCCGCCGCTATGCTTTCTCTGATTGTGTTTCTCTTACACACATAAATATCCCTTTCTGTGTCGAAACTATCGAAGAGTTCGCTTTTGTCAATTGCAAGAGCCTTTCTTGCGGTGTTGACATAGAGAATAAGACAGAATCTTTTCTTGAATATCTCTATAAAACATGTCGCCTTAATATAGATTCCATCTCCGAGTGTGACATTATCACATGCCAGAAGGTCAATCACTATAGATATTTCTCTTCTATCTTTGTATTTTCACTTAGTGACGGTACAGAACTTGGTCTTTTTTGATTGTTTGAATAAAAAATAACTTTCTTATAGTTTCTGATAGTTTTGCATCATTTTACTCAAATCTATGATTAAAATTCTGTTATATTGCATTTAGATAGATAAATAAGATCTTGATCATTTTTTGATTCAGATGTTCTTTTTGCTCATTTAGATACGATTATGCATACTAATTCCAGGATAGGCGCCTATTAAGTCACGAAATTGTGAATTATGTCGTTCGAAAAATATAATAAATCAAATCTAACAATAATTTTTTTGGTTTGCAAACACCTGTCTCATTATAATAGTACTTGCATTCTAGAAGAGATTGTACATAAATATTGAATAGTTCTTGCAATTTCCATATTAAATTATTGTTTTGTTTCTTTAATAAAACAGCTTGTGTTGCAGAATTTGATTCTACATATGTTTTTGCACAATACGTTAATATTTTGGCACTTCTTGCCAGAGAAAATGCTTCCTAGCAAAGAAGAATGACGTTGTCATACATTCGAAATCGTAAGGAAAACTCGATTGCTTCATAATCAACACTCATACTTTTTTTGAAATTAATAAGCGCACACAAATTCAATGCAAAAAATAAATTCAATTTAATTGCAGATAAATTAATGTTTGTTAGTCATCAATTGGATTTCCTCTCTCAAACTTAAGTTTCTGACATATTTTCAGTTGTTGAGAATAGAGTTTGATGGGAACATATCTAATATGACAACTCTTTTAATAACCCCATGTATTCATGATTGCTAGAACGAAGCTTTTTCATTCAATTTATTGGCGTTGTAAAATTTATTGTGTATGTGTCAGGAAACATTTTACATCAGTATAAACAGCACTGCTTCTTAATAAGGTTTCTTTTAAAAAAATTGTGAATTGGCAAAATTGTCATTTGACAAATCTAAAAATGTCAGGTATTGAATTTTGAATTTTCTATTGAAATCATAATTTCTAATGTTCGCTCTCTTGACCGTTCTTGGATTTAAAGGCTTTCAAATGAAGAAGCCTCACTATAGTATGAATGTAGATGATTGTTTCCCCAAGTGCCTTGTTAAACATGGAAACTATTCGCAGTGCATGAATAAATGCGGCTCCAATCCTTATGGATATACTAAATGCTGGAAGTCAGCTATTGGTATTATTAAATGCACTTTTTATCCAAAAGCCCACCAACAGCCTGAATCAAACTCTTTGCAATCAGCCCAGGCTAGATGCCCTGTTACAATTGAGGAAAGATGCACACCAAAGGAATGGCCAAGTTATAATTGCAAATATCTTTGCATGGGCCGTGAATTGGAATCCGAACATTGTTTTAACTATCCAAGTGGTCCAAAGCACTGCACCACAACTACATGGAGATATTAATCTCATTAAACAGAAGATTAAAAAAACTTACTCATTAATCTGAGTTATAAATTATTAATTTTGAATCATTTCTGAGGTTTTATAAATAAATTCACTCTTCTATGAAATTATTCTATGTTTGATATAGGAATAATCTCCCAAAAAAGATAGAAACACAAAATCAAGTCTTCATAGTCGGAAAAATTACTTTGTTCATCATTTATCTGAGAGAAACTACATAGCATGCAACAACTAATAGCATCTAATATAGATATTCCACTGATATGATGATATGAGTAGTATATATTGCGGGTTTTGTGACTTTTTTTGTAAACGTAAGAATTCATACAATATTGAGCGATTTTGTAAGTAATTTTCATACAATTGATAAAATAAATGTATGATTCTTACGCTTTTTATTCTTACGTTTTTGAATAAATCATGATTTAAAATCGTAAGAAATTTTCACAAACCCTTTACATAATGAAATAAAAAATAAAAAAAATTTAAAAAATAAACTTTAAAAATTCATGTCTTACATTTTTTGAATAATTTATTTTTTTATTTAATGATAAATGAGTGGATCAAGATTCGTAACCGTCAATCAATTAATGGATGTTCTTTCACCAATTCTTGAAAATGTTAAACAAGTAGATGTTTATTTCGATGATTATGTAGAAAGTATATATTATAAAGGTAAGTTTAATATTAAACCTATTGCTTTTGCATTTGATAATAAATTAATTGAAAATGTAAAAATTTGGGAATTAATTCCAGATATTGAATTTATAACAAATATTAATGATAAATGGTTTAAACGAATTCCAACCACAAAAGTTCTTTGTAAATTAATGATCAAAACTGAGGAAAAAGAATTTAACGGGTTTAAATATCATCCAAATAAAGTTTCAGAACTAGAAAATGAAAAACTTCAGAAAAAATTAAACGATAGACTTTCAAATGATCGTATTGAAAAAATAAATAAACTAGCAGAAGTTGCATTTAATAATGAAATATTTGATGAATATAACCTTGAACTCAGTGATGGACTTTAAGTCCTGGGCACTTTGTGCCTTGGGCTTTAAGGACCTGGGCTCAACGAGTCATGATTTATGAAATCAATTATTTGATTCATTCGCTCTTCAATAATTTCTATTCTTTTTGTTAAATCATCTATTTTCATTAATGAGGTGATTCTTGATTGAGGAATAGATTTCAAACTAACCACTCCTTTTATTTTTGAAATTTTGAATCCATCAACTTTAAACATTTTATTCAATTTACATGTTGTCAATTCTTCAAATAATTTTTTATTATTAGCATAATAGTCATTAAATTCTTCAACAGATGAAAAAATTTTTATTTCAGTAATTGGTTTAACAACGTTTATTTTTTGTTGAACATTTTCACTTTCATTTATTTCTTCCTCCTTTGTTTCATTTATTTTTAAAATCGGTTTCATTTATCATTAAATAAAAATTAGAATATAAGTGATGAAATATATTTTTTTAATTAATATTAAATCAGAAATGGCTGCAGGATTCTTTAAAAAATTATGGGAAGGAATTAAGAAAGCTGCAGGTTGGGTTCATCAAAAGATTATTAAACCCATTGCAAACTTTTTGGCACCAGTAGCGAAAACGGCAGGAACTATCATAGGTGGAGTATTAGGTACTAAAGCAGGTAATCCGGCGATGGGAGCACAAGCAGGTAACGCAATTGGTGGAATAGCTGAAGGAATACTTAATAAAATAGGAGGTGGTTAGTGGAAAAATAAATAAATATTATTTTTATCTTAGTATCGGTTGAAGTCTTTGATAAACTTTTTCTCCTTTATTTAAAATTTCTCTTATTGGGGCAGCTTTTGGCGTTATTGATTCAGCAACGTCACTAATTGCTTCTTTATTCTTAAATATCCAATTTGCTCCTTTCTTCATTGTTTCCCAAACTTTATGCGCTCCTCTTTTTACTTTATCCCACAGTTTCTTAAAGAATCCTGCAGCCATAGTTGATTATTTCATTAAAATTAAAAATTCATTTTCATCTTTTAATTTTGATTTTTTATTTAATAATAAATGACGACTAACTATTTAGTGCCAAACACCAAACCGATTAATGGAAATGTGTTTCATTCATTCGAAAAGATAAATGAAATATTCGCAAAGAATGATGGAAGAAGATATTATAGAGAACTTGAAAGTTCATGCTATGACTCTGATGCTCCATATTTTGATGATAAACAAACTCATTTAAGAATTACAAATCCGGCTCATGATGTGAACCAATTAGGTGACACATATATTAAACGCAAAGTTAGAGCAACTCTAGTTTCAAATAAAGCTTTCACATGTGATGCCGCTTTTAAATGCATGCGTTTATTCATTGGTTACAAATCATCAAATCAAAGCTTTAAACAATTAGAAGTAGAAACCGAAAGAGGTGATGCCGGTTATCTTCAGATGGATTGCGCCCGTGAATCTTTTGCATTTGCAACATATAAACCAAAATCAGAAAGGAAAGTTAAAAAGTTTGTTCATTCGTTATATAATAATGTTCAAAAATATGATAACTCAGTATGTGGTAAATATATTGACCCTTCAGAAGTTTTCAAGAAAGCAAATGAAGAAGTTGATATCACTTTTGATATGATTATTCCGGTAAATGATTTGTTAGCATTTCAGGCGTTCGATGATTATCCTAAATCATTTGGTGAAATCATTCTTAAATATTATGTTTTCAGGGATACTTTAGTATTTTGTCAGGTTGACCCGTTAAGAGTTGCTGATTTACAAAATTATGTTTATGAAAAGATAACTGATGAAAATTATGAAAAGATTATGAATCATGTTTATAAATATGATCGCAAATTCCAACAAATCGGACTTCCTACCAAATTAATTACAGGCTTAGCCGCTACATCTGCTGACGCAACAGTTGAAGACGTTATTATTTCATGCACAAAGATGGAAGTTTTAGAGGATAAATGCATTACACCAGGATATGGTTTAATTGAAGAATCAGTTAAAGCAATACCACGTTTATTTAGTAAGGAAGATCCATTCATGATTCCAGCTCAACATATTGACGTTCGTTCACTAAATGGAGGTTGCATCACTCCTGAAGGTATCAGCTCAGATTTCTCATACGCTCTTCATAATGTTACAGATGTTGTGTTAGCATTTCCGAAGAATGCAATGCAAAGAACAGTTTTAGAAAATCCAATGCTTCGAGGTCTTCAGGTCACTATAGATTCCAGAAACTTTCCCGATCAAGCGATGACCACAGTGGGTGACATATTCTTTACACGTATGCTTCAAGCTTCTGATTTAGATGGGGTGAATGAATGCACAGAAGAATACGAGGACTCATTAACTAGACCACTGAATGATGATGATGGCAAGCCATTAGCTAGAACATGGAAAGACCAAACTTCGTTCTTATGCACTATTCCAGTTCAACGTGATGGAGCGGGTATATTCTTTGATGGATTAGAAACTTTCAACTCACAAGTTACAGTACAAGTGAAAGCTTATCCAATCATTCAGGGTGAAAATGACACTTACTGTTCAAAAGTGACAAATCCTCCTCAGGTTTGGTTTACTAGGACTACATATTGGACATGGACACCGGATGAAGGTTTGAAATATCATCCAACAGGTACACCACCACAGTATAGAAGTTCATATGATGAAATATTGATGAATAGAAATGTATAAAATTATAAATTTATTTTTGATTAAATGGATTTAAATTCTGAAGAATTAGCGGGAGTATATAATACATACGTAGATGATATGATTAATGAAGCATTGAGTGATAATAGAAATGCTCTATCTAAGGAAAAATTAATGAAAATTCCATATTCTGAATGTTACTTAAATTCAATCACTGCAGCAATTGGTAAACAAAATAAAGGTAAAAACATTAACGATATTAAAACAAATTATCATTATTGCTAACACTTCACCCCATTCACATGTGTTAATTTATATCAACCGTTCAGGTTCACCTTCAGATGATACATTTGAATCTTTAAAGCATTTAATCAAAATTCCAATTATTTATTTATCACAAGAAGAAGCAGAAGATTATTTAAAAAACTTTTTAATGTATAAAGAATTATATAATACAATCAAGAAGCAAGGATTAGAGGATAAAATTATTGATAAACAACGGGATGAATTATTTGAAACACTTTCTATTTCAAATTTTGATAGAGAATTTTTGCATTCACTCATTTTTCTAGATGATGCAGTGAAATCAAAACTAATAACAAATGAGAAATCATATTTTAATCAGTTATTAACTCAATGTCGACACATTCAGTGTTCATTCTTCATGGCCGTTCAATACTTCAAAGCATTAAGCACAAACATTAAATCAAATCTATCAACACTTTTCATTTTCAGTGGGTTTAGTCGTCAACAGTTGAACGTTATGCTTTATCAAGTGAATTTACCAATGAGCATTAATGAACTTTACACACAATATCAGCAATTAGGTGAACATGGAAAAATAATAGTTGATTTAAATAAAGGAAGTGTTAAATTTGATTAACTTTTTATAATTAATTTTTATTTTTTATTTATAATTAAACATGACAGAAATAGCAAATCTTCTACAGGTTCCATTAAAACAAGGGACAAACAAAAAGGGTGCATATAATAGAACTATGAAAGTTCCTGATGGAATGAAAGAATTAGTCCACATTGTTGCTGGTCTTCAAAAGGATGTTAAACAAATGAGAAATGTTTTAACATTACCAGAAGCTCAAGCATATGCCAAACGTCATGGTCCAAATTGGGAAGCACACGAAGCAGACATTACGGGTCCAAATGGAAAACCTGATGGTATAAATGAAGTTTTCGTTACTGATGGTCAAGGTAATATTAAAGTCATAAATGGGTATAAATTAACTATATCTGATTATCCTAAACGTAAAGCATATAATGAACGTTATCCTATGCAATTTGATGAAAATGGAAAAGCTGTTAAACAATACATTGGAGAAGGTGAACATG